AACAATGTCAGCCTAGAAATACAACGCAGAATCACTCTTGCCAACAGGTGCTACTTCGGGCTGAGTAGACAATAGAAAAGTAAAGTCCTATCTCGATGAACAAAGACCTAACTCATTATTCCCGTCCTCCTATATGGAGCAGAGGCGTGGACGATGACAACATCTGATGAGTCGACGTTATGAGTTTTCGAGAGAAAGGTTCTTCGAAAGATTTATGGTCTTTTGCGTATTGGCCATGGCGAATATCGCAATCCATGGAACGGTGAGCTATATGAGCTAAACGACGCTTACATAGTTTGACGAACTAAAAGACAACTCCTACGCTGGCTAGGCCATTTGTGGACCAGTAGCAGTGGGATAATGCGAGCGACAGTTTTAGACTCAATAAATATTAAAGCAATAAATTTGGAAAGAAAAAATGTCGAACTATACATAGATAAAATGTTTTATCCATTTTCTCCGCCACAGAGAAATTTCAAGTATTTCTTCTCATAGGGAATTAATGAAATTTGTTGGCTTTTTATGGCATTATGGCAAAAACTAAAAATTATAACACAGTTCTAGATCCAAAAAACAAACAATGAAATTATGTTAATTTTTAAGAACTTCACAACACTGACAACTCATGAGGGGTATGAATGCTAGTGAGATCTGTGATACCGTTAGAGTATTTAAATGGTAGCCAAAACGAATACACGTCATTCATGTTTACTTTTTATTATTTGCACGTTTTCCACCTTCGCGTAGTTGTTGCTGCCACTGTTGCAACTATTGTTGTTCAATTGTTTCACTTTTCATTCACTGTTTCTTTGTTATTTTTGAAGATGCACCAAGGTTGGACAAGGTCTTCTGCTGATCTGCGATTTCTCTGTGACTCTTGAGCTCTTCACCTACGAATGAATGCGTGCCAGCTCATGACGGTGTGAATCTGAGTATGCGGCATAGGAAACTGTTCCACAAGTTCGACAATTAAATTCGGATTTACTTATTATTTATCTTAGGTATAAGGCGATTGAATATGCATTTCTGTACAATTTTCAAATTAAATTTGTGGCATCACAAGTTTCTCATAAATTTTGGTAAGCCCGGTGTTTGGTAACACCACGAAGTTAATGTATTCCATCATATATATATAAGATATCACAATTTTCTATCCAAGTGAAAACCTAAGATGAATCATATTATTAAATGGTTTTGTATAATAAAAATAAAATATTTAGTGAATGCAAGCGCTGGTTACAAAGGCCTCGATTCCGGCAATAAAAATTTATTTTTAATTTCTGTTTACAATTATTGTTTGCTTCCTGTGTCTCCTCGCTACATAGTTCACTGCTGAATGAGCCGATTGCATCAACATTGCGCTAATGAGACATCAAAAGGAAACTGTGGCAGTCACAAACAAAAGGCAAAAAAGCATTGCTCATTGTTAACCCATTTGCAGTGGGCAACAACAACTTGCAGCTTGCACAACGAACAATAAACGTAAAAGTATAAGTGAAATTGTGTAATTGATAAAGATAAATTGCATACATATATCCATGATATATAAGTAGAGCCTTTTACAAATTTATTTCTCCGAAAGCTGGAGCAGTTGAAGCTCACATAATTTTTTAAATCTGGATACAAATCAGGCAGAGTATGCATGGAACATTGGTGAGTTTACTTCTTGATATAAGCAACGACAATACTATAAGAAGAATACCTCAGTATTAACCTTAGAAGATACTAGATTAGAACTCACGTCTAGACAAAACTCTTATATGTAGAAGCTGACTTGAGCTATTGGACTTCAAAACTCTTCCAAAGGTCATGAGCTCCAAAGTTAACTAAACGATGCTGATACCGGTTATCAAAGCACTCCCACTGAGGCCAACTTGTTATGAAATGAAAGCTTATGAGTGCTTTAGATTGAAAAATAAAAAAATATAGGATAGGACAATTTTTTTTCATATTTTTAATAGACCTTAATAARCCAAATATAAGTATATACCATTTTGGTCGACTACTTTTTTGTAAGACTTTTCTGGTTTCACGGCGCAAAATTGCGACAAGTAATTTTCTCAAGCTACTCTTGAAGCCAACTCCATTAAGGGGTCAGTAGGGTAATCTGGCCTATTTTTTGACATTTTTTTTTTCATAGAAATTTGTATTCTACAGTAGAACTTTTTTCACATATCATGAGACACTCAACAATTTTTTTTAGGCGAATGAGATGCGTTTTTGCACTGGCGGACACGATTTCTCATGTTTGGATCATCTAAAACAGGAAAACGCAATTCATTCTTACAAAGGACGTGAATGGGTATCGTCCCTACTCGAATCATGAAAAATTTTTGATAAGTAAAAAAGTAATTAACGTGTTTTTTTTTTTAGTTTTTCCCCATGCTGTTTTACATAAATTTTGTCACAACATTGTCAATAAATTATAAAAAAAAAAATGTAAGGACGATAGCCAGGCGTTTTGTAAACATTTGAAAAAAATTAAGCAAATGGGGTGAGTAGTTCCACCCGAATCATGTCCGCCAGTTTAAAAAAATGTGTATTGAGGAAAACTCGTTTAAAGTTTGAGGTGTGCACTCGAAGCCTTCCAATGGTAAAGTGGGTTTCTACATTAATTCTAAAGGAACAGAAAATGCAAAAAAAAAAAAAAATTTTGTGAAAAAAGATTACCCTACTGACCCCTTAAGGGAGTTTTGCATTGACCGAGACAAATGGTAGTCCGATGGTGCACGGTCAGAGGATGCACCAAAACTTCTGAGCTAGGGTCTCCCAATTTTTGCCGAGTCATCATAGAGGTTTATGGTATAGCGTTGTCCTGATGGAGGACGAAGCCCTTTCTGTTGATCAGTACTTGCCATTTTTTCCGATTGCTTGCTTCAATCTCATCAGTTGTTGAAAGCAAAATGTAGAATCAATCGTTCGACCAGGCTGGAGCAAGTCTTAGTGAATGATTCCTTTCCAACCCCAACAAACACTCAGCATAACCTTTCGAGGCGTCAATCCTGGCTTTGCGACCATTTGTTGAGCTTCACCACGCTGGGATATAATCTTTTTCGCACACTATTGTCGTATTTGATCCACTTTTCGTCTTCTGTTACTATTCACTTCAGAAATGGTTCGATTTCATTTCGTTCGCTGCAACGACTTCTATTGACAAAAAACGAAAATTTTTACAGTTAAAATGGAGCTACAGTGGACATGTAGGCTGAGTAGCAGCGTTGTAAAGTTCCGATCATAAACTTCAACAGAAAATTGGTCAAAGAAATTTATTTGTGTGTATGTTTTTCTTTAAATAAAAATATGTTTGCTGTAAATCAATTAAGTTGTAAAATTAAGGTGTTATAAATTAATTATTTCCAGCAAATTAGTTGGCGCCCATAACTCGGCCTCGTACGTGATAGCGGTGTAATCCACTGTGCTACTTCGTAATTAAAGCCACATGTGTGCACACGGCTAACGTAACGTGAATTTCGCAATACTTGTGCTTTCATTGGGATGATTTTCAACACTTCGGCAAGCAGCAGTACAGCATCACATACAACAACAACATCTTCATCGTTTCACATTATAAAGTACACCATCAGCGTGACTGTCATCACTAAAACAACAATGGCAGCGAACTCAACAACGGTAAATGCAAAAGTAACAACAAAAGTTACGGTAATTRTGTGCGCAACAACGGTAATAACTTCAACGAGATTATCATTGGCTGTAACAACAATAAGAGAGACACAACCCAAAAAACTGCACATGGGCGCCAGTAAATGAAACGACGAACCGCTTGATGCACACGGATGCCGCAATCCGCCTACATGACAAAACTAATGCCAATGGTCGCGACTACAAGAACAACAACAATAGCAACAGCAACAGCAACTCCGWTATAAAARCAATAMMAAGCGAMCAGGTAACAACAACTTCCCGGTTTATGTTGCATTCAACAATCAAGCGGATGCGATTTATAGCTGGCAAGCGCTAAAAGAGAGTGAGAGTGGTGAAGTGGTCGTTATTAGCGCAGCCACTGTCGTGAGGCGGCAGGGACGGCGGAGATGATACGCTTTGAATGGTGTGGCTTATGCTGCCACCGCATCAACAGCCAGCGCTAGAAGGCTAGCAATGATACAATGACGACAACAACAGCAATTAGACGGCTACAATRCCGCTGCTTTRGCTTGGTATTAACTGGCAGCCGACGGCTATCGTAACATGGCAAATGAAAACGAAAGTAATCGAGTAACCGCAAAGCGCTACACAACGCCGCAGAGTGTGCGGCGAGTCTGGGMATCTTGGCGCATGGCGGCGCGGTTGGGTGGCTACTTGACTACCGCTAGCAGTCTGTTAGTTACTTGATTCATTGTTTTTGTTTTAATTCTGCTTTGCCGTTACTTTTCATCATTGAGTCGATTTGTTTTTTCTCTATTCACTTTTATTTTCATTGAAAATTTCCATTCCCAACATTCATTTCAATTGCACTCGCATTKAGCGCCARCAGCGCGGCGCGTACAGCGCTTGTTRGATAGTTGGAGGAGGCGACGACTGCTGTTAGGCGATACAAAAGGTGGCAAGCGGCTGCGTCTTGCTGGCCTTGCGCCACACTCACAGCACCGCAACAATGCGCTCTATGAAGGGGGAAGTGTCGCTGATTGCAGAGTTGGGCGCGACGCCTGCTGCCATCGCGCGGCGCGGCYGTTGGGGTTGAAGTCGAGGCCGCGTTCGCATCAGGAGCTCGATGCAGTTGCATTTGAGTAGTGATAGCGTACGAGTCGTATACCGCGGAACGCAGTGTGAATTGAATTCATCGTCAAACGARCGCGTGTTGAACAGTGCGGCAAGGATAAAGCAAATTGCAGAGTGCGTTGCGTATAAGTTACTAATTGTTTTGTGAAAAGTTTTCATTGCGGTACTGGAGATGGGCGCAGAGAATAGTTAGTGCACCTGTTAACCATCAATGACCTTCTATTACATAAGCGCCTCTYACTTTGGCCAAAACTAAAGCAAGTACTTTTAACCAYTCGGYCATTGTGATCATCGCGTTCACTTTTGCTTGGCAAGTCTCTTTCGAATCTTTCTTCGCTCGCATGCTTGCGCTGCCGCCGCTGTTTTTCGTGATTCGCTTTGTTGGAAGTGATTAATGGACTTTTCGGTGAATTATACACAGAAGCGAATTAGCATTGCTCGCCAATTATGTACTACACCAATAATTAAGTGTGCAGAATAAAAGCAAATAGGCGCTAGCACGCGCACTCACCAGAAACCACATAAAACAACAACAATTTCGTGTAAACGGCAGATCGTAATAATAAAGTGGAAAACACATTTGAATAAATGCGCTGTAAAAAGTTGGAAACTATTTGCATACCAAGGAGACTCCACGAAAAGAAAAGTATCTCCGCGCGTCATTTTAGCAGTCGGTATTCGACGGCCCATTCAGCGCCACCGCATAACCGTTTCGTTTGTCTTGTGTACAGCACGTGAAAGTGGAAATTCCGCGCGCACCTAACCAAATCCGCAACTGAAATTCCGGTGGCGCAATCGCAGTGCCAATAAAAAGCTTGCAAATTGTGTAAATAAGGATCGTTTTGACACCGCGTCGCCGTTCAACGGCAATACTCGTAAAGTTCGCAAATTGAGTGTTAAGTGTGCCTGGACACCTGTTTCACGGCGCATAAAYGGCKGCGTAGACGGCCAGTACGTCCTTGTGTGGGAGCTGTTTGTGGRGGAAAACACGTTTGCATGCGGAAATGCACGGCATGTTGGAGGCAYTCAAGCTGTGAGCAGTCCATGCAACAAACAGTGAATAATGTGATTAAAGATGTTTTTTCTGCCTCGCTCACTTTTACTATGTCTCATCATTTTTGTGCCAATCGCAGCAACAACAACACGCAGTTTCAATTATCTACAGTTTAATGCAGGTAACTATCAAAAGAGCATAAATTACACTCCATTCCGTGCTATCAAATCTTTGAGCAGAGCGATAACGGTTCATTTGTACTTTGAACGTGTTAATAAGTATACATATATCATGCATTACTGAACGCCTCGTTTAGAGATCTTCATGTACCAGATCCTTAGAGAACTAATACATTTTTAGAACAAATAACTTTCCACTTTAAGGAATAAAAGCTTGTTGCTGCTATTTTTTACTAAAGAAGAATGAATGGTTATAAAGTGCCTTAAGGGGCGTTATAGAAATATCGTTAGGATAASATTTTCTCTTTGATTTGCATGAATTTAATTCTATAGATGTAAAATTTAATATATTACAWCTTTGAGTTTATCGTGTACAAAAATAAAGCTTTTGTAGAATGTTTGAAAAATTCCGACAATACTAGAAAAATCATATTGCAGGTTACAATCACACTCAGCTTTTTGTGTTTTTTTTTTCTGGGTACCAGAATTTTCCTCTGAAATCAATCGATAGCAATTTACTTTTATTATAGGATATGTCGCYTTTTATATTCAATACATACGTAAGAAGCTACTATCAAACAAAATTTAATTGTTTACATGGAACAAAATAAAACACATTATTTTCTGCATTTTTTCCACTCTTCGGGTGAAAAATAAATTTATATAATGCGAATACTCGATCTTAACTACCGAATTYCATATTCAATTTCTAAGTTGCTTTGACAAAACTATCGGTCAGGGTTGGATTTACATTAATGACTTATAACGATCGATTTTCTATTGAAATTCCGCAAATATATTTTCAATAGATTAACTACTAATTAAACTATTTCCCTCTTCAAAGCACATTAATAACAGTGAAAACGGTGTATTCAAGTTTATAACGATGTATGTATGAGCTACATTACAAACGTTACATTCTTGCAGGTTCGTCTGAAGCTTTGGTTTGTGCAGTATAACATTTGAATTTACATGTTAATAGTTATTTGAAGCGTAATATCCASAATTTGTATTTAAGATGTAACTGACGTATGGTTTCTTCATAATAAATACAACTTTMCTCTCTAATTGAACTGAACTAAAAAATCATTAATATAGAGTACCATGTTGCCACAGATATTTATGTACTGAAAYGTTTTACATTTATTTTCTTAATGGCTCAGCATAGAAATTTCAAATGTGACGTGTCTTGTATTTGGAAACCAATTATGTAAGGGTGCTTATGGTCATCCTCCGATTTTTTCGATGTGACAATTTGCTTAAATCACATTTATCACTTCGAAATACTTTCATCTGCCCACTGCCATCAGCCCATGAATTGTTCGTCCTAATACGGCATACGACCAAATAGAACTCCGTATTGAACTCCTTACGAATATCGAACAAAACCATAAGCACCACTTTGATTGGTGGCTTTGGCATAACATTTCTCTCAATGGATGTAGGATCGGACTTCGCACGATCACACATGACCAAAGAGACCTGTTTACGGTATTACTTTGGAGAGATGTGAGCTTGCTTGCCATCACTATAACCCTTGCTGACGATTTTCAATCACCATATCCTTCACTTTTTTTTAGTTTTTTCATCAGTTGATGAAGTCGAACGATCTCTCGACTGTTTCTGAATACTTTGTAGAACTCGTGTTTTAGATAAAACTGAATCACCGTAAGCCTTTTCCAATACCCGCAACGATTATGCACACGAAATTTGGTTAAATTTTGGATAAATYCTTGGTTTAATATTTTTATCCATTGTAAAACTCGCAACGCTGAGGCGTTTCGACTTAAGCAGCTGCTGTAAACAAACGATAAACAAACGATTTGGCGGATTCCGCTCATATTTGGCATAGTAATTAAGGGCAGTTCTGCCAACTTAAAAATACATTTGAGTTTCCGGGTACTTGAATGTCACAATTTACATCACCATCATAAGGGTATGTACTAATATTTTAGGTTCGCAAGCTTTTWCCATTAAGATAGAAATTCATTTCAGTTAACGGTAAAATATACCCTAAGGTTTGGCTTTATCGGATAAGTTATATTGTTTATATAACACAATTAGCCATTGTTTACTTCAACCATTTTTATCTTGGCCTTGTAAGCAAGAGTCATTCTTACAGATTTGTTAAAACTTCTACTCASCACACTAATRTATTATAWAACCGTTTCTTTCATAAATAGGTTGTGGAACGCGCTCCAGYCGACGTGAACCACGCGCAGTAGACTCAGCTCAGGAAACACAAAAACAAGTGAATCGTACCGCTCGCATAATATCTGGTGCTCCCACGAAAGATGGTCAATATCCATGGCARGCATCACTCGAGCTTTTACACCCGTCAATGGGATTCTTAGGCCACTGGTGCGGCGCCGTACTTATTCATCCATATTGGATACTTTCCGCAGCACATTGCATACATAAGTGAGTAAACTAATATTTTTATATATTTTCCAGTTTATTGTTCACTTTTTCGACCTTGCCTCACAGTGATCTCTTCAACCTACCTATACCGCTGCTATGGACCGTCGTACTAGGTGAACACAATCGGCTCGAAGAGTCCGGTTATGAACAACGCGTTCCTGTCGACAAAATCATACTACATAAACGCTACCATAACTTTCGGCATGATCTCGCGCTCTTAAAGCTCTCTAGTCCGGCTAATTTGGCAAAAACATCCAACATTCGTGTAATCTGTCTGCCGTTTGCATTCAATGAGCAGTCACTGTCGGAGATAAGCTTGCCGAGCAGTGACGAGGAGATAGTYGCCGAAGGTGAACCAGAAGATCCTTTGGAGCCGGGACTGTCAGGTGTGCCGGATTTAAATGACAATTTCCTACGAAGCGTGCAAAAGGTGCGACGCAATCGGAACGTAACGCTGCCCAGTATGCGTGAACTAATGAACACAAAAATACTGAGTCGCTTGAAGCAGACAGACATGCAGCGGCAARGACGCATGCTACATTCGACACGCCGACGAAATGACAAATTGATGAAAGTGCAAGGAAACTATCGAGAATACGAGGGCAGCGCAGATTCGCGCAAGCACTACTGGGCGGATGGCGAAGAGCTAGAAGAATACAGAGATCTGCCTTACAGCGATTGTGTGGCGACGGGTTGGGGTAAATCAAATGTCAGCAGTGACCTGACGAATGTGCTACTGAAGACGCGAGTACCGCTGCACAACAGCGAGAGGTAAACCTACATATATTAAGATTCTATGTTATTTACAAAACTGTCGAATTTTTATWCTGTAGATGCAGAGCGGCGTATGGMAGTTTCGTGAAGATCCACCGTGGTCACTTGTGCGCCGGTAAGCTGAACGGCAAAGGCGGTACTTGTGTGGTAAATTTTAGAACGAAATTCAAAAAACATTCCTAATACATTACTTTTGAYACACTMCAGGGGGACTCAGGTGGTCCACTGCAGTGCAGGCTCAGCAAAAGCGGACCGTGGCTCTTGGCCGGAATAACGTCATTCGGCTCGGGCTGTGCCATGGAGGGCTTCCCGGATGTTTATGTGCGCATTTCATACTACATGAAATGGATCCAAGACACTATAGCGAAGGAGTAGCCAAGAGAAGCATAAGCGTACCTATGTATATACATATATATTATAGTATTATATAATATATACGCATACTTATATGTAAATACCAGATATAAATAAGGGTAGCATAAGTAAGAAAATGAAAATGCGAGGCTTTTCGAAATTGTATTATTTGTTCGAGTAAACTAACTAAGCAAAAACTTAGGTYTAATTAAATTTTAAATAATTTATATAGAAATATCGTAGAATACAAAATTGTGGCTTATTTTAATTAATGGTAAAATCTATATAGATTAACTATATACTGTTAATTAGTTAGTCCCTGCTATAAATGGAATGAAAACTTTACCAAATAAAATGGTATAAATTCTACGCTTAAATTTTAATATCACAGTTGGGAGTTTTCAGAAGGTCTTTCCGGACCTGGYTCTACGCCACCACACTTCGGTGCAGGGGCAGCAGCGTTACATCATAATCAGGCCTTTTTTTGTTCACCGCTTTGGATTGTTTCGGCAGCTTCTTCATTTCTACTATCGTCGGTTGCTTTAACAACGGCAAGAAGCCTACGTTTGCCTTGAGGGCGGCCTCAGCATTCTTTGCTTTCTCCAGGGTTGAATTGATGTTTCTCCACGCTGTTGGCGCCCAGAAACAATACAACAAAGCAYTGCATACCAAATACACTCCAATCGCGATGAGCGTTATAACCAGCCCTAACTGTAAGCATGGACAAACACGAAATAGTAATGTGAGCAACATTTTCACGCCGGGGGTGAGATCTTCAACGCCCTAGAAGAGAAATAGTAGTTAGAGCACTATTACTTACTACAAGCTCAAGACCAGCTTACCATCTCAATCCAAAATATGGGCAATGCCATGTTCTTAAACTGCGATACATCTCGRTTATATTTGACATTTGCCATCAGTAGGTTTATCTGAAAGCGGGAACGCACTCTCATGGGTATACCCAGTTGCTGCAAAATATATAATAAACTTCTTTATGATATGTCGGACAAGCTAARCTTAAGMGTGTTATTACAATTACTTAAAAATTTAAAAATTGTGTTATATGAGAAGTTGGCGTGGTTGCAGTTCGATTTCGCYTATTTTCGCACCATTACATAAGAATATGTAAATAATGTCACGAACCAAATATGGTTGAAATCTGTGGGACAGATCCCGAGATATGTTATTCCACCTAAAAGCAGGCGATACCACGACCGTCGTTTAGGTTTTAACCTGGCTCCTTTTGAACTTTCTCATATCATCTCGAGTGTAAAAAGTACAGTGGTCCGATTACGTCCGTCTACGAACTTCGACGTACTTTTTTGCCAAAGAATATGTGTGCCAAGTTTCATCCAGATATCAGAACTTTTACTCTAGCTACAGCTTGCACGAACGGACGGACGGACTTTATATATATGCAATACTATATCTAACTCGATTAATTTTATGAGATACGAAGAAGACTATTATTCTCTGTAGCAACATCTTGCAAGAGTATAAAAACATAGACCTACTCTAGTGATATTAATCTACTATTTATAACTAATTCACACTCACCGGTTGTATGATTATATCTGTACCGTGTCTGTCCTTATCTGGACGCAGTCCGTCTATCTTTTCCAGCAGACTCGGTTCACCGTTAAAAAAGTGAGGGAATGAAACCGCCAGCGGTATATCTACATATTTAACGAWTAGTTCTGATTAATTGCAAAATCTAGTGTTATTGAGTGGTTTCTTACTGTAGTAACAAGGGGAAATATTGCCAAGACCTTTCTTCAAACAATGCTTATTCTTGCAGTAGCAAGATGTCTCTGAGTCACCGAGATCGCTATCAAAAGCATTTTCCTTCAATTTGAATTTATARCCTTTGAATCCATTAACCGTTTCAGGGTGTGAGTACTGTATGGGCAGACTGCGGCAGAAAGCTTTGCGATACACGCGAAATGTTTCACCTTTATGGATGTTGCGCGGGAAGAGCGTGCCGTCATAGGTGCCACGTAGCGTGTTGCAAGGTGTGTTGCTTGTGCTGAAAAGAGTAAAGCAAATCGTAAACTTCTGAGGGATACTTATTGCAAAAGAAAGAAAAACTTACTTGCGTTCCTCATTGTAGTCCCAGTTTTTGAAACCTGTCTTGCCGTTCCAATTGTCGATGGAGAAATCACGATCTGTCTCTTCCACTGCACCACCATCGTCCGCGTGCAGCTTTTTCGGTAATTTCATGGTGACCACATTATGACCTTCGTCGAACATCTACAACATAACACAGAAATGAATATGGAGGCCACACTACAAAAAGGGCAACAAGCAGCCACTCACCCGCTCCATCAAGCCAAAGCGTCGGAAGTGTATGACACTCGGCACAATCTTCGATGCCAAATTCACGATTGGATCCTCATAACCCCAGAGATAATCATGAACACTTAGTTGCAACATCGGCTTAGAATTGAACTTCTTCGTCAAAGCATTTAYCGCCATCATAGCGAATATTGAGTAAGCAGACGCCGCAGACATCACACCCAAATAGGGTATATTCGGCGCCATTATCTTATCGATCGACGGATCACCGACAGAACGTTCACGTATAAATCGCACTGTACGTTGTGGCGTGTAAGTCACGGTTTTGTTGTCGTTAAATAAGACATTTTGGTTCTCCAACACCTCCTGATACACATACGGACCCACCTCCACCAACTTCAACTTGCTGTCCTGTCCGCTCATGAACGCTTCCACATTGGTGACATTGAACATGTACACGCTGATGAACACTTCAAGCGGTGGCTTCAGCCACAAATTATACAGCAGCGTGCCGGTTTTCAGGGTCAATTGCTGCAAATAAAAATATTCCGCAATTTTTTTAATTGCATATGAAATCTTGTATTGGAAAATAAAGGTACAGAATGCTTGCCACTAATTGAGCTGTTATTGTAGTATTTTTCGTAATTTTTATCTTTATTATTGTTTTTATTATGCATACTTCACTTACATTATCAATTAGCAGCTGCAGGGGATCAATCGCGATCATCAGAACCGCCACAATTATCAGTGCAATGCCAACACTCGATAATTTGAGTATCCCTGAAATAAAGTAGAGRGGCAAAATTTTAATATTTTTAGAGCTTAAAGTTTTCAATTAAAAAGTAAGCTTTATTTAGAGCGAATTCATGGGTACTTAGATTACTCATTGAGCTTTAACATGACTACCTATTTAATTACAGTTATCAGTATTCTTTCCAGTTTGCAATAAAATGCTTGCCAATAAAATTATTGATTATTAAATGTGTGAAGAAAAGGGCGGTTAAAAACTTTAAGCACATACGGAAGTAGTTTTGCAATAGCCTGACTTACTCGATATCAGGCTAAGTATCGATGACTAACACTCAATTATACTCATACCTAAATTAAATTTTAACAGCCAATTTTTTTGATAAAAAGAGTTGGAATACTATATTTTTTGTACTTCGAATATATGTATATAGTATAAGCGGTGATCTCAGAAAAGGGTACTTTTTTCAATAGCCTTGTTATGTTATTTTTCCCTGTATTGTTTGATATTTTACAATGGAAAGACTGGCTTTATCTCGGAAATTCACGTTCTGCGAAGAATGTGCTATTCGCAACACCATAACCCAATAGACCCAGTACAGCATGCAGGGAGGAAAATATAGCAGCCGTAGCTGAGAGCGTACACGAAGGCCGCGGAAAAATACAGCTTGTTCAAGAACAGAAATCGCTCGAGCTTCCCGAGCGCTCTATTCGCTCTTGAAAAGTTCCAAGAAGATTCGAAGTTCACAAAACAAATTTTGTTTATCGGTTCATATTTCTTCAAAAATGATGCCAGGAAGATTACAACCATTATCACGTCATGATAACCGACTATTTGATGCCTGAAATTGAATCTCTTGATCTCGACGACATTTGCTTTCAACAGGAGGCCGCCACTTCTCACATGTCGCATCAGTCAATGGATTTATTGAGAGAACACTTCGGTGAGCAGACAATTTCACGTTTTGGGCCGGTCGATTGGCCACCAAGATCGTATAATTTCACAACGTTAGACATTTTCTGTGGGAATATATAAAGTCTGAAGTCTATGCAGACAATCTCACTTTCATTCAGGCAACCAAAAAGCTCTAACGAGTTATCACAAATTGGACTCAATGGATGGATCATCTAAGATATAGCCAAAGTAAATGACCAAGAGTGTTCTTTCGAATTTAAAATAATAACCATTCCCCTTTAAATTTAAAGCTTCTGATTTTTTTAAGTACTGAACATATTTTTTTTTTTTTTTTTTTTTTTTTTTTTTTTTTTTTTTTTTTTTTTTTTTTTTTTTTTTTTTTTTTTTTTTTTTTTTTTTTTTTCGTGGCATATTAATAAGTAATATAAAAATGTACATACCTACGAATGAGTTAAGGAGGAACATACCTTTAGAATTTTCAAAACTTACAAAAAAATTCTCTCTAATCAATTGAAAAACTATTCAAAAATATAGTTCCGAAGTTTCATTGGTTTACTCCAAATATTTTCTAAGAAATAGGCAAGCAGCGGCTGTATAGTACCAAAACTTTGAGGCTCGTATCCTCGAAACCAATTTTTTTTTATCCGGGTGTCAAAATTGGGAACGAATTATTCAACGATTTACTTCAACCAAATCGTATTTTATAGACAATTTCATACTCAAGCGCGTTAAAACAATGCTTTTCCGAGTAAAATGGCAAAATCCAGTCCTACAACCCCTTTACTATGCCATTGATAAAAGCTTCCTAATTAAAAAAAGATAATTTTTTCTTTTCAAATAAGAAGCCTAGCCAGCAAGTTGACGGCGGAAAAAATGTCAATCAACGGGATCGTTGATGTTTTCGCCATTTTGTATTCAATAATACCTTTTAATATCTATGCCAAAAAATCGGATGTGATCTATTTTTATTCTCTCATACTAAGAGTGGAAAAATTACCTTTAGTAAAAAAACTATTTCACAACTTTTTGAAGTTAGATTCAAAAACGAAATATTTGCTTCCGAATTTCGAAATTAATCTTATTGAAATCATTATTATTAATAACAATATGTAAGCTTCTTCGTTTTCCTCTCATTTCAACAGTGTAGCGTTACAAAATAAGGTTTCTTTGATACATAAAAATTTTATTTTTTCGTAGATTAGATTTTGACAA